TAAGGCTCAGAGGGATGGCAAAGCCTTCCTTGGATCCAAGTGCAGATATGTATGTGCACAATATGTGCAAAAACTGTCACCGTAGCTTTCTTTCCCAAACGCTGACAGCCTGAAGATGCTGCACAGTACAGATGCTGCACCCACCCAATTATCTAAACCTGTCTCCTAGTTCAACTATACGCAATAACCCTGCCTCCTTTATCTTTCTGCAACAATCCCGCTGCCCAGTTCAGCTGCATATAATACACACATTGGGCTTCTGGGATGCTGTGGCTCCTCCATCAGAGAGCCCAGACCACCAGATCTCAGCCTGTCTGTCTGTGAATCTGTCCTTTTTCATTCCCTCTAAGCCCCAGTTAGGTCAGTACCTGAAGCCATACAGGACATGGCCCCCAGAAGGGACTAAGATGGGAACTCCCAGAACTCAAGTAAGGGAGGCTCCTGAGATAAGCAAACAAACGAAGGTAAGGATGAATGTAAAGGCAAAGGAGGAGCTGAAATTCTACGTGTCTATAAAATTCTAAGTGTCTGCAAAATACGTGACAAATAGAGGCGCTTGGGGAGATTATGGAAAACTACATTGCTGCTTCAGCAGATCGTGGCCTATGGTAGGGAGGGGTGCCCTTGGTTTCCAGGGAGCTGGGCAATGAGTTTGGCCTCTTGAAAAAAAAATTAAAGAAAAAAGAAAAGGAAGGAAGAATCAGGGGGGCGATACATGGCCAAGAGCCCTAAGCACATTGCCAGTTTTGCTTTCCATTGAGCTGCGTCCCTGTTACATTTGCCAGAAAACAAACAGCACACGGTTGAGGGCCATGTAGTGGGGAAGCCCAGGGTGGGATGAGCGCCTGCCTGCTTGGCCAGCTGTGTGTGCTGGAGCAGACACTGGGCTAGGCGACCCTGTCCAGCAGCCTGCACTGTGAGCCTGTCTGGTCCGAGTCGGGGCCTGGAGCCCAGAAGCGATGAAGACCAGCATGCCACAGCAGTTTTGGGGAATTGAGGGCAACAAAATGGTCACTAGCCAGAGTGGAATGGTTTGGGCAGAGGAGGTACACAGCCAAAGGCGGGAAAAATTTTGGTGGTTTTAAATGTTAGCTGGTTTTTGTTTTTAAGACCCTAATGTAAAAAATCCACTGGTTACGTTTCTAATGTGTTTGGTAATTGTCCCTCCTGGCCTAAGCTTTTTCTCCAGTGGTTTGGTTACATCCTCCCATACCTGTCTATATGGGTCTCTCCAGTTTTGCTTTTGTTTTGTTTTATTTTGTTGATGGGGGGGTGCATTTCTTTAACCTCCTGGAGTCCCAGTGGGCTCTGCTCAATTATTCCAGGTGGAATACAGCCCTGCGATTTAGAGAGGACAATTGGGGAATTAATTTGGGCCCACACCAAGGATCACATGGCTGTGCCCAATCCCGCATATCCTAGAAAAGCAGTAGGTGCCCTCTCAGATTCCTTTCTCTTGTTAATGCCACATAAACAGCCTTCCTGAGATGTTAATCCCTTGAATTTGCATTTCTGTTGGTACGGAGGCTCCTGGGATCCTGCCTTTTGCATCTTTGCAGTCCAGTGTTGAGCACTGCAGTGAACTCACCTAGACTAAATTTAAGGATCCATCCTGAATATCTACGGAATAAGAAAGAGGGAGATGTGGGGAGCCAGTGAAGTCCTGAGTGAACCTGTGTGGTTGACAGGGGCACCACAATGTCAGATACCAATGCCTCAGAGCCATGGGATTGGCAAAGCCACCCTGGGTAAGGATCAGAGGGATGGCAAAGCCTTCCTTGGGTCCAAATGGGAATGTTTACAGTGTCTACAGAAAATACCCCTGGCTTTCTGCCTTCAGATATGTACAGCCTCAAGTCCACTCCCTACAGAGACTGCTCCTGCTTGGATTAGCTTAACTGGGCTCCTGCCCAGCTGTATACAATAAACAGCCTCCTCGGTTATCTGTATGTAATAACTCCGCCTCCTTGTTCAGCTGTGAACAATAACCCTACCTTCCCCTTCAGTGGTATTTAATAAACACGGTAAGCTTCTGGGTGCTGCAGCTTCTCCACCAGAGAGCCTAGACCACCTGATTCCAGTCTTTCTGTGTGTTTACCATTTCTTCATTCTGTCAGCTCCCCAAGTCAGGGTCCCAGGACCCAAGCCATGTACAGACAAGATACTAGCAGCTAACTGTCTTGAAACAAAGCCCTAGAGGAGAATGAATTTTGGAAGCTGGCGTCGGGGAAGAAGAGAAGACCCTGTTATTTCATTACCTTGCTTTTGAGTCTCCTCAGAGACATGTGCTCAGGCAGGAACAGGACAAGCTTTGCTGGCCCTTGCTGATACTAACGTTATAGGGAGGGACTATGAACTAAAAAGAAATTGTACTCACAACTTACTAACAAGTAAACCTTGAAAAATTCCGAGATATAATTCCCAGGTAAAGGTGATGAGCTGAGAAGCATTTTTAAAAGAAATGGTGAAAGAAATCATATTAGTATGATATTCTAGAAACCAGTAGAAGAGAAGAAACTTTTCAAAAAGAAGGAAGCCAGGGTGTCTGTGCACACTCGTGTACACACCCACAAGTGCGAACTGCCGAAGTGACTTCCTCACAGAGGAAGGCAGTAAAGACACCATGCAGATTTAAACCCGGGCTCTGATTTTAGACACAATGGAACATCAAGGACAAACCTAATCCTTCCACTGTAAACACCTAGAGAACTCTGTGTGTGTGTTTGTGTACACACACTCTCACTCTGAACCCATGTTTTCACACACTGGTGACCTGAGAGAACACGTCTGATCACTGAAGAGAAAGAAACAAGCTGGGTGAGACTCATGCTGCCATGGATTTCTGCAGTGAGATGGTTTAGACCCCGCAACAGAAAGTTTTCAAGTCCTAGTATACTTGGGGGGGCAGGTGGCGAGCGGTGAGATGAGCAGTGGAGAGAGACTTGGGGGGGCGGGTGGCGAGCGGTGAGATGAGCAGTGGAGAGAGACTTGGGGGGGGCGGGTGGCGAGTGGTGAGATGAACAGTGGAGAGAGACTTGGGGGGGGGCGGGTGGCGAGCGGTGAGATGAGCAGTCGAGAGTGTTAAGGACAGAAGCTGAGAAACAAACTTTAATATTGGGAGCCAGGCAGAGTATCAGCTCTGGGACTTGGCTTGTGGGACTTCCTTCCTACTTCCCTTCCTTCCTACTTCCCCTCCTTCTGTCCCTTCTCCTACTTCTCCTCCTACTTTTTATCTGCATTTCCTTCATTATGGCATTACCATATGTGTGTGTACTTTGATCATATTCACTACCTACATATGGCCCTTTATGAGCCTTTGCTGTAGTTGAGTGTATAAAGAAAATAGTACATGATGTGAGCAGTTATACGGGATGGGAAATATTTCATTTCTTACTGGTCAGCATGCCTGGCAAGTTTTTTTTTTAATTCACTCCACCCAATCAGCAGAGACCCCAGAAGTTCATGCCTTGCCCAAAAGGCTAAAATGCAGTAAAATAAAAACTACTCATGCAGGCAATCTTATCAAATCATAAAAGCAAACCACAATTGTGTTCATAAGTTTTAACTGCTGATTAAAGTCAGGCCCAACGGTAATTAGGAAGACTGGAGAGGTGGTTCAGCAGTTAAAAGGACTGCCTAGTCTTCTAGAGGCCCATGATTCAATTCCCAGCTCCCACAGTGCTTCTCACAGCATGTGTAACAGGAGATCCAGCAGCATCTTCTGACCACTATGGACAATGGCATAGACATAGTATATAGGCATACATGGGGGAGAAAGCAGAGGGGGCTGGAGACATGGCTCAACGGTTAAGAGCACTGGCTGCTCTTCAAGTGGACCCACGTTACAGATCACAACTATCTATAACTACAGTTCCAGGGGATCCAACACCATCACACAGACATGAATACAGACAAAACACTTATATACATAAAATTAAAGTCTTGAAAAATAAAGGAAAAATGAAAAACTTCAGCTGTCAAAATAGGCAGAATTTTCTTGCCAGGTGGTGATGGTGCAAGTCTTTAATCCCAGAACTTGGGAGGTAGAGGCAGGTGGGTTTCTGTTAGTTCAAGGCCAACCTGGTGTACAGAGTGAGTTCCAGAACAGCAAGGGTGATTACACAGAGAGACCCTGTGTCAAAAAACCAAAACAACCACAGCAAATATCTAGACAGTCACAAAATATAATATTCTGGATGTCTTTTATGAATTCAAAAATATACAAAACTCTAAGAATCAGAAAATATTGACCAATATACTGAATAAAAATCAGAAAATAGGCCGGGCGTTGGTGGCGCACACCTTTAATCCCAGCACTCGGGAGGCAGAGACAGGCGGATCTCTGTGAGTTCAATGCCAGCCAGATCTACAAGAGCTAGTTCCAGGACAGTCTCGAAAGCCACAGAGAAACCCTGTCTCGAAAAACCAAAAAAAAAAAAAAAATCAGAAAATAGAAAAAGCATCAATATTAGTACTACAGGCCTTATATATTGCCCCAGCCACACCATTGACAGTGGATACAAGATATAACTCTAATGCACAAACTGAGTTAGTGGAGCAAATTCTATATGGAGAGATACCTTTCTCAGTGTAGACACAGAGTGGGTGTGACGGGTGGGGGTACCTTGGTCCTGTCTCAGCGAGATGATGGAACAGTCTTAGTAGACTTCCTAGGGGAGGACTTATCCTCTCTGATGAACAGGTGGGAGGTGGGGTGGGGGGAAGCTGAGGGGAGCAGGAGGAGAGGAGGGAGGACTGGAATTGGAATGTAAAAAATAATAATTAAAAAATTAGTATTAGAGGACTTGAAAACAGATGTAATGAGTGGCATATTTCCCAAGGTTTAAAAAATATGAACACAATGAGGAAATAAAAATAACCATTGAAGTTTTTAAGAGACTAAAAAAACTACAGTCTGTAAAATGGGAATTTCGTTAGATGAGATGGAGAATTAAAATTTTTAAAAAGGAGTTGTGGAAGCAAAACTATGGAAACTGTACCAAAAGGAGCTGGAGAGGCTCAGTGGTCACGGGTGTACCATCTTGCAGAGGACCCAAGTTCTCTTCCCAGTGCCCAGTCAGACAGCTTGGTAACCACCTGTAGCTCCACCTCCAGGAACACAGGGAGCCTCTGGCTTCCTCGAGTATCTGCATTCACAAGTACATATCCATTCACATACACATGTAATTTAAAAATAATATAATGCTAACAAGACAAACATGAACTGTTACAAGAGACCTGTACCATAGAACATGTTTTTTAAAAGTTATTCAAGAGGGAAAAATATTACAAAGAAAATTATATATTGATACACCATATGAAGATAAAGATTAGGTATGGCAAATATTATTATAGTCTGAGATGAATTAAACTACAAATTATAAAGGAACCACCAAGAGTGTAATTATGAATCTTTCAGTGTAGAGCTAAAAGAGAAGCCGTTCAACTCAAAAGAGAAGAAAAAACAAAGACAAAGAATAAACAGGTGACATAAGTTTTAATAAGTAAGATATAGGATTAACTGCAACAATATTGGTAAATAAACTACATAAGCACTGCCAAATCAAACATAAGCAAGACCAACCATGTCTTATCTTTAAAAAGCTCACTTTAAGCATAAATAACCAGCTGACAATGCAAAAATAATTCAAGGTAAACTATACAAATACCAAAGAGAAACAACTCATATCAAGAAATTTGGCAACATGAATGGAATGAATAAATGCCTCGATGACACAAATTACCAGATAGAAAATCTGACCAGCCTAATATCTGTTCAATTAAATTACTCAATTATTTAGAGGTTCAAAGAGGACATTTCAGGCCCAGATAATTGCATTAGTCAGTTCTATCAATCTTTAGAGGAAATAAGAGTCTTAGACGTACAAAACATCCAATGAGAACTGCCTGTCCAGGCTGTGTGAACAGAGTCCACTGACTTCATAGAGCCTAAGTGAAACATTTTTATGCTTGTGTATATTAATTGTACAAAATAATGGGTTTTGTTGTGGAATTTCCAAACATGTATAATGTCCTTTGATTATATTTATATACTCTTTAGGCCCTTAGCCTCCTCTTCTCCAAAGCAAAATCTTGAGGTACTAGTATAGTCCCAGTGAGCAGACCACACACAGCTCTGTGCTTGAACACACCGGGGAGTTGTCGGCATGGCTCCTCCAGGGCTTTGGAAATAGGGTTTTTATTTTATTGGTGTTAATGCACCAATATGAAAGAAGAAAAATCTAAATGGCCATCAGCATGAAAAGAAACTCTTAGAGCTTCAGGACTGGCTGCAGTAGCATTTCTTAACTATCACATCAAAAATTTTAATATAAATGATACTTCTCAGGCATCTAAATGATACTTGCCTGCAATCCCAGCAGTCAAGAGGTAGAGGCAGGAGGATCACTGAGTCCAAGGCCTGCCTAGTCTACAGCGTGAGTTCCAGGACAGCCAGGGCTAACCGTGTCTCAAAAAAACCAAGACTAAATAAATAATAAAGATGCTTCTCTAATTAAATGATTGAGCATTAAGTTACAGAAAGTTGCCTCTGTGAAGTCTTGTTTTTACTATTACTATGCAATACATCTCTCCCTTACATTTATATTTGAATAAAATATGCAGATCTAGTTTTTTCTTAAAAGACAAAACTCTTTGCAGTATGGCATCTTAGAGCCTGGGAATTATAATCTCTACATTTGTTGAAATGCAGGGTTTAGTTTTACAGTTTCAAGAGAATATTTAAAGTCTGATAAAGTCTATGTACTAACTGATCCTTTATTTTTGTGTTTAATATTTTTTTGTTTCCACCTGGGAGAGTTGACTCACTGATTCATCTAGATTAGTATCTCCCATGTTGCAGGTCTGTGCAACATATAATTGTATAAATACTAAAGAACTTTGGTACACCAGTGACAATTTTTTCCTGTGCTTTATTTTTGTGTGTGACTTGTTTTGCTCATTCCTTAGAACATTAGGTATAATGGTACACTCTAGAAAATGTGTAAATACTACTCTTAAAACCCCCACGTATTAAATATTGAAGTGGAAAGTAGTCTTTATGCCCTATTAAATAATTCAGCTAGCTTTCCTTTATTAAAAAAAAAGCGTGTGGGGGCTGGGGGGCATCTTTAAAGAGTTGCTTTGATAAAGAATGAAAGAGCCTTGGTGTAAAAAAAAAACAAAGGTTTTTAATGGCTGTATAGAAAAATAAATAGCTGGCATTCTCCTGAGTGACTAGATTAGTCTATGCTCTGAAAGAGCTAGGAACATATTGCTTTCCTCAGATGTTCGTGCAGAAATGTTTTCTTCAATTAGCATTTGCTGAGAATAATTTTTGTATGTGCTGCTTTTCAAATAGAATGATAGATAAAATGGCTGCCTAAGGACTGTTTCAGGGCCTTTCCACCCCACCTCCTTTTAGTGTCTTAGAGCATAATAATTATGGTATGCCAGTTGGGAAGCATGGTAGAAGACAAAAGCAAAAACAACAGAAGAGTTACTGGGGAAAATTTTTTGCTGTAGGTAGCTTCAAATGAAATGAAAAGAACATCACCCACAAATCATGCTAATTTGCGTCTTCAAAGCTTGCCCCAATATGTACGCCCTGGTGTAAGAACACGGTGAGAGACAGCAGGTGGTACAGCCCAGGGTGCCATGGCAGAGGCCCCAGAACTAGCACAGCATCCTCTGCCCGAGGCTGCTCCCTCACGACGGCTCCACACCAAAGCCATCACTGTCCTACAGGGATCTGCAGAAGCCTCGCTTCATCTGCACCGTGATGCTCCATGATAGTCTTGCTTCCTCTTTGCAGGTGTGGAAACAGATCTGAGTGCTGAGAGAACAAGAGCAGAGGCAAACCTAGGCTGTCTGCTCCACAGTCCCCATACCCAGCCTCTGCCTACTGGGAGGGCACATGCTTCACAGGTGGGGGCACCTGAACAGGAAACTGGCAGGCCACTTCTAATCTGTCAGCCCCTGGTGGTTTGTTTGTTTGGTTGGTTTTGACTGTTTGGATTTTGTTGTTTTGTTTTTCAAGACAGGGTTTCTTAGTATATAGCTTTGGAGCCTGTCCTGGAACTCACTCTATAGACCAGGCTGGTCTCCAATTCACAGAGATATGCCTGTCTCTGCCTCCTGAGTGCTGGGACCAAAGGTATGAGCCATCACTGCCCGTATTGTTTTGGTTTTTTGAATAACTTTTTCTTTATTATTATTATACACATTTATATATGCATATATGTTTGCAAAAATATACAAATACAAACTGCTGAGTGTGTTTTGTCATTGCTGTTTGTGGTTATGTGGTTTTAGAGCTCACTACTTTGTCTTGGATAACCAGTTAGGGGACTTATCCCTGGAAAAGGCTACTTCTCCCTCTCTCAGCAGTCATTAGTTGCCTGTCGTTCTTTGTTCTTTTGTGGGACCCCACAAAATTATATATTTTTTATCATTTTTTATTTAAATTTTAAATAGCTTGTTTTACATGTCAATCCCAGTTCCCTCTCCCTCCCCTCCTCCTGCACTCCCCTTCCCCCCCACCCTCCCACCCTATTGCCAAATCCTTCCACATAGGGGATATCTAGAGTCTGTCATTTTACTCTGGGTAGGGTCCAGACACTCCCCTAAGAGTCCAGGCTGAGAGAGCATCCCTCTTTGTGCTATAGGCACACGAAGACTGTTTGTATACCAGGGATAGACACTGATCCACAGCTCAGGGCCCCATAGGTTGCCCAGGCCTTCTCGCTGACACTCACATTTGAGGGGTCCAGAGCAGTCCCATGCTGGCCTCCCCACTGTCGGTCTGGGGTCCAAGAGCTCTCCCCTGTTCAGATCAGCTGTCTCTGCTGGTTTTGCCAGCCCATTCTTTGCCAATTTGCTCATCACTCCTCTCTCTCTGTCACTGGGTTCCTTGGGTTCAGTTCAGTGTTTAATTGTGTGTTTGCCTCTGCTTCCATCAGTCACAGGATGAAGGCTCCCGGATGGTTATAGACATCAAGTTCATTATCAGGAATGGGCATTCGAGGTGGTCTTTCCACTATTGCTTAGCTTGCCAATTGGTGTCAAACCTTTAGATCACTAGAGGTCACTCTGGTGCCTGATCTGTATTCGATCCTATGATTCTCTCTTCCCCCTATTCTACCCCCACCCCCTCAACTTCCTGTTCCCCCATGACCAACTCTCTTCCTCTTCACCCCCTCTCTTCTTCCCAGGTCCCACTCTCCCCCCCCCTCGCCGTGTTCCCCATCCATTCAGGGGATCTTGTCTCCATCCTCTTCTCTTGGGTACTATGCATATATGCATATCTTTTAGGTTCTTTCCTGTTTCCCAGACTATCAGTGGAAGTGCAAACTGGCACTATCCTGATCCATGTCTAAAATCCATATATGAGTGAGTACATACCATGTTTGTCTTTTTGTGACTGGGTTACCTCACTCAGGATGGTTTCTTCCAGTGCTATCCATTTCCCTGCGAATTTCAAGATTCCATTGTTTTTTTCTGCTGAGTAATACTCCATTGTGTAAATGTACCACATTTTCTCTATCCACTCTTCAGTTGAGGGGTATCTAGGTTGCTTCCAGGTTCTGGCTATTACAAATAATGCTGCTATGAACATAGTGGAGCAGATGCCCTTGTTGTATGAACTTGCCTCATTTGGATAAATGCCTAAGAGTGGAATTGCTGGGTCTAGTGGTATATTAATTCCCATTTTCCTGAGGAATCTCCATACTGATTTCCAAAGAGGCTGTATGAGTCGGCACTCCCACCAGCAGTGTTCCTCTCTCTCCACATCCTTTCCAGCATAAATTGTCTTCGGTGTTTTTGATTTTAGCCATTCTGACAGGAGTAAGATGGTATCTCAGAGTTGTTTTGATTTGCATTTCCCTGATGGCTAAGGATGTTGAGCACTTTCTTAAGTGTCTCTTGGCCATTTTAGCCTCCTCTACTGAGAATTCTCTATTTAGCTCTGTACCCCACCTTTTAATTGGATCCTTTGGTGTTTTGGAGACTTGTTTCTTGAGTTCTTTATAAATTTTGGAGATTAGCCCTCTGTCAGATGTAGGGTTAGTGAATATCTTTTCCCATTCCGTGGCCTGCCTTTTTGTCTTTTTGACTGTGTCCTTTGCCTTACAGAAGCTTTTTCGTT